GGGCCGCACGGGGCGGGTGGGGGGCCGCCGACGGCAGTTGGGCGTCGGTATCTGGAGCTAGGCTGTGGCCCCTGGCGCCATTGATATGTGCAGGGAGGTGTGCGAGGCAGTGTTTTGCAGCACTAGCATAATGCGAGTCCTGTCCAGGAGACAGTGATGGTAGATTTCTGACAACTGAAAATGTGCTTGCACCTGCCGTTGCGCACCGCTCTGCCCCCTGCAGCTGGAGGTGGTCCCGGCAGTACCATGAAGCCTGCACAGCCAACTGCGGGGTAAGGACCCGGCACCACCGCCTTGCCGCCCTCAATTCTGTCCACACTTGCCACGACCGCCCACCTGTGTTCATGCCCGCCGCCGTGCGCTCATCCCGCGGAAACCCCCTGCCTCACTGCCCCTTTTGCCCCACGCTTGGCGCCTGCCAAACCCTTGGAAACACCTGCAGAAGTTCACACCTAAGAACGTAGAGTTCCAGGCCAAGATTCTGGCCCGCAGCGGCCTTGGGGACGAGACATACCTGCCGCCCGGCCTGGCCGAGAAGCCCCCCGCCATTTCCATGAGCGACGCGCGCTGGGAGTTTGAGCAGGTGCGGGCGCAGCCGGCAGGGCTGCCCTCCCCTCCCTCTATCACAGGGAAGCGGCGCGGCGCACAGCTTTGGCGAAGGGGCGGCGGGAGCAAAGGCGCGCTCCCGTTGATGTTCTCAGCAGCAGGGCAGGTGTCATGTGACAGACATGCCCTGAGGTGTCTTGGCCCTCCCCTGGCCTTGCCCCAAGTGCTGTGAGTTTTGATTTTCCTTCATATCCACTCAATCACAGGTGTGCTTTAGCTCGATCAAGGAGGTGCTCGGCAAAGCCAACGTTCAGCCGCGGCAGATTGGCATTGTCATTGTGAACTGCTCCCTTTTCAACCCTACCCCCAGCCTGAGCGCCATGATCATGAACCACTTCAAGATGGGCTCCAACACCATCAACTACAACCTGGGAGGCATGGGCTGCTCAGGTGGGGGCGCAGGCGTGCTGGAGGTGCCGTGCGCCGATGCACACCCTTTTTGCGCATGCGCACATGTAGGGGTATCTTGGCCGTACGCGCGTGCGCACACGCGCGCGCGCGCACACACACACACACACACACACACACACACACACACACACACACACGCACGCACGCACACACACACCTCCTCAGCCGGCGTCATTGCGGTGGACCTGGCGCGTCAAATGCTGCAGCTGCAGCCGGACACCTACGCACTCGTGGTGTCGACAGAGAACATCACCCAGAACTGGTACTTTGGCAACGACCGTTCTATGTGAGCAGGACGGGTGACGCTGGGCCGCGATGGGCGCTGTCGTACTCTGCTTAATTCAGACTCGCAGCCGCTGTACCACTTGCAAAATTCTACAAGCCAGGCTGCTTGCAGGCTGACTTTCCCACGGGCTGGCTGCCCTGGAGATCCGGGAAAGGGAGCTTGGCGCTGGTTGCCATTCCCGTTCAACCCACCCGCACTGCCGACCCCGCTGCCCGCAGGCTCATCCCCAACTGCCTATTCCGAGTCGGCGGCGCGGCAGTGCTCCTGTCCAACAAGCGCGCTGAGGGCTGGCGCGCCAAGTACGAGCTGCAGCACGTGGTGCGCACCAACCTGGCGGCCAACGACGCCGCGTACAACTGTGTGTACGAGGGCGAGGACGAGGACGGCACGAGGGGGGTGCGGCTGAGCAAGGAGCTGATGGCCATCGCGGGTGAGTGATCTGGATCTGATCTGGTGTGAGCCTTTGCGACCTGGAGGCGGTCTGGTCAAAGGGCTTGAGGCTGTCAGCGGCAGCGACGGCTGTGCTTGACGGAGGCGGCTTGGGGCACGGCGTTGATTGCGTTGTGGTTGTTTTCTGGGTATGAATGTCCCTCCCTCCCAAGCGACCCACCCCGTCTGACGACGCACGTGCTGCACCCCTTGCCGCAAACGCCTCGATCCCGCCAGGCAACGCGCTGAAGACCAACATCACGACGCTGGGCCCTCTGGTGCTGCCCATCAGCGAGCAGCTGCTGTTCGGCGCCAACCTGCTGATGCGGAAGCTGCTGGGCAAGAAGCGCCTGCCCGGCTACGTGCCGGACTTCAAGCTGGCCTTTGAGCACCTCTGCATTCACACAGGTGAGGCCCTGCCGCGCCGCGCTCGGATCCCTGGGCCGCGACGTGGTTGTAAAATTGCCAGGGGAGCGCGAACACGTATGCAGTCGCCTCGCGCGCCTGTCTCACGGGGATGTCTTTCGCCCGTCCAAGGTTGCCGGACAGAGTTGGGTGCAGACAGTGGTTAAAACAAATGCCGAGGCGGTCGGCTGGCACCTGGTAGTGTCATCTGCATGCATCTCCAGCCCGGCGTGCCTCCCCGTGCGTCGTGTACCCCCTCAACCCGCACCTCGTGGACCCTCCCCCTCATAAGGCGGCCGCGGCGTAATTGATGAGATAGAGAAGCAGCTGGCGCTGCGCGGGGACATGGTGGAGCCCAGCCGCGCCGTGCTGTACCGCTACGGCAACATCAGCAGCAGCAGCATCTGGTGCGCCGGGGGATGGGGGTCGGCGCCTGGGCCAGCCGTCGCGGTGCCCGGCGTGCGCGCGCACGAGCGTGTCGGAGGCTCTGGGAGGCTCTGGGGTCTGGTGGTCGGCGCAGCCAGCTCTGCGGTATGTAGGCGTGGGCGTCGTAGCTTCGTGTCGAGACGGAACCCCTTAAATCTCACTGCAACGCCACCTTGTTTCCCGCCACGTTGTGCATCGCCCCGCGCTCCCCAGGTATGTGCTGTCTTACATTGAGTCGGTCGGCGCCGGCGTCCGCAAGGGCGACCGCGTGTGGCAGCTCGGCTTCGGCAGCGGCTTCAAGTGCAACAGCGCCGTGTGGCGCGCGAAGAGGTGGGCGCCTCCGCCTCGGACGGCTGCGGCTTTTTTCTGGGGGCGGGGCAGCGCGCTGGAGCGTGTGCACGTGTGCGCATGCGTCGCGAGCGCGCAGCGTTCTTCTCCTGCAACGAGCCGGCAACGTCGTCTTGGCTGCCCTGTCACTCTACCGCGTTTCGTGATTGCCCCCTTGTATGCAGGCGCGTCCAGGAGGCGCACTACGCTTGGGAGGGCTTCGACAATGAGAAGATGCGGGCCGACCTCAACGACCTCCCACACTGACAAAGCAACCACCAGCAATGACGACTTCTCACAAGCGCTGCCACCAAAGTAGCACCCCCGCGCTGCGCCCCCGCCCCTTCGTCAGTACGATTACTGTATGCTGTGTCGCGTGATGCCGATATGCGCAGGCTGCGCTGTGCTGGCGGCGGCGAGCCGTACGGCTGGGCGGCGCCACTACTGCGCGCTCGCCCCTTCAGAGCACGCCCCCAACTCCCTTTGATGCATGCGGACGCGAGGGCGGACGCACGCGCGCTCCGTGGCGGCCGGTGTACCTCGTTCTCCCTGTCCCTGTTCACGATTGACATTTGATGGCGCGTGGCGTCTGCCAGTGCGAAACACACCAGCACACAGATGCATCCGCAGCCCGGCAAAGCAGGCGACTGCGATGCGCCCTGCCGGGCCGGCAGCACCGAAAGGTTTGGCCTGGAACGGCGCGCGCGACCTCGCTTGCCCCAACATCAAGGGGTGGTGCGGAGCGGGGCCTGCGGCATTTGTTATCGTGCAGGGCAGCGCTTTGCGCCCACTGTTCCGCTCACTGTCCCCTTCCCACACGAGACCCATTGCATGTGCAGCGTGCAAGCGCATGTGCACAAAGCGCAACCCAGACCGAGGCCTTCCTCCCTACAAGGCATGCATTCCACCTGCCCCTTCGTATATTTCTTCTCTCCAGGCTTGCGCCTGCAGGCTGGCGCCTGCTTTGTGTCGCGAGGTCTACGCCGCCCAGAAAGCGCGCCCGGCTGACGTCGCTGCTCGTGCAGCCACTGCGCAGCTGCCGTGTGTATTAGAGTGTCAATTGATTTTGAAGATTTCGTAGACGGGAGGTGAATGTGATGATCTGGGCGGGGCGCATCGCGGCTGCACCTTCGCGCATTGAGCCACGGTGCACTGCAAGCAGGACTGGCGCGCCCCCGCTGCAGCTGCAGGATCACATCACACATTTCATTTCGGGCTCGTATCTATTTAATGCCCATCATCATTTGCACTATGGCGCAAGGCGGTCGCAGGTCAACACATTGTAAACGAGCTTTTGACGGCCTAGTTCCAAGGGCCGGGAGGCACAGAGGCAGGTGTGGGGGTAGGACAGTACGTCTGCTGTTGCCATTGACCAGGTGAACACTGCCTTGGCAACACGTCAACCACAGGTGCTGGCTGGGCTTGTCTTATATAAGTAAGCTGGTGATCCTGATTGCCAGTTGAGACTTTGGCCAGTCAACCAAGATCACAGCATGACTCATGGCCTGGGGGCCTATGGGCGACCCAACCAGGCGCCGCGCCGCACTTACATAGATTCAGGGAGGGGCCTGCCGCCCGTCCCGCCGCGCGCAATGGGTTTGGTAATTTTCAACTTGTTTCCCAGGGCCATGAGAGGAAGGGGCGGGCGTGTTCGGGGTCCCGCATAACTCCGCGAGGCCTCGCACCTACGTCAGCACAAAGCACGGCCTCCGCGGTACTCATTGGTATAATTTACATATTTTACAATTTGTTACAAAGGCCGCGGCTCCCGGAAGGCGTGTTCGGGGAACCGCACCACTCCAGGCCGCAGGTCAGCAAGCTCGCACCCCAGACTGTGTACAACATGACCACCATACTGGCTGGAGGCCCCAGACTGACAACGCGTATTATACACGTCATCAATCAAAATGATAATATTACATAATAACAAACACTATAACATTGAGATTTAGTTAAACGGTCTGTTAGAACAATGGTTTTGGGGATGGCAGATCATGGAAAATGCAGACGCGAACAGTGTTGAAGGCGATACTGATTAAATGAGATTGTCACAACAACACAAATTTTCACAAATGGAGTGGTGTTGACGGTGTCACGCGTGGTGGCACACGAAGTCGATCACGCGCATTTGGACTGCATCGTGCAAAACCTGCGCAATCTCAGAAGGAGATGTCGCGACTGTGTCTTTGAAAACGGGGAAACGGGGGTTTGCCACAGGCGTGAGGACTTTGCGTGCAGTAGTGCCAGTGCCGTAGCGTGGCAGGACAGAGAGGAGCAGCCGCTCACTAGCCCATCAATCATGAGGACATCAGGCCAGCGTCATGCCAAATTTTAAAGGCAATGCCGCCGCGGGATGTGGGCCAACACTCATCTGCTGGGGGAAAATCAAAGATAGTGGGGCGAGCAGCTGCAACAGTCCAACGCGCTCCCAAACCTGCAGGTACGCATCGGTGGGCACATGTCCAGCAACACATGAAGCATGCCGGTCCCATGCCTTAGTGATTGTAGCATAACGCCCAGCCAGCGTACCAGCTGCATGCAAGTGCAGCGTCTCTGCAGCATCTGGCATGATGCAACGTAGCAGCATGTCACGACATAGCATTTGGCAACATCCTGCATTTTACCTTACAGAGCAGGCTCGCCTACGCAAGGCTGCAGTATTTGTGGCTGTGCATGGGGCAATGATGCCTGCAGTTGCTGCTGCTGCTGCATTGGAACGAACGCGCCTCAGTGCTTGTGTTGCATGCTGTGCGTCCTGCCCTGTTGGCACGCGGCGCTTATGTGCAACCGCCTGCTCAGAATGCTGCCGCTGCTGCTGCCGCCGTTGCTGCTGCTGCTGCTGCTGCTGCTGCTGCTGCTGCTGCTGCTGCTGCTGCTGCTGCTGCTGCTGCCGCCGTTGCTGCTGCTGCTGCTGCTGCTGCTACTGCTGCGAGTCCTGCTGCCGCTAGTCCTACTGCTGCTGGTGATGGAAATCTCGCATGCGTGCTGCAATGGCCATGCCTGCATCCGCGCTGACCACCACGGCTGCCGAGCAGCAGATGCCTGCTGGCTCTTCAGAGCACTGCCGCAGAGGGCTGCCTGGCCCACGATCTCAAGATCATTGATGAACGAACACAGCCGCTCGCAAGCCACAGATGCGAGAAATGTAAAAAATTCGTCGAAGTCTGCATGCACTGACGAGGGTTCGATTACCGAGGAGTAGAGTGGTCACCACCGTAGACACCGCACACGGCACGTGTGGCAAGCAGCAGTGTGCTCAAAGCGATTGGGGTATCCCGCCCCGAGAAACGCTGTCTTTCCACACAAATTAACGCTTTGCGGCACAGATCTTCGTTGGAGCGTTGTCATCAGTGGTGATCACCTCTAGGACTGCTGCATCGCAATCCTGTGGAGCGTGCTGCGCAACATTCTCTGATCTCTCTATCTTTAGCCGTGAACCAGCCTCCGCCCCGTCCACAGCACCGCGAGCGCGTCCGCGAACTTGATTTGACTCGTTGAATCGCGCAGTGGGCACAGTTCGCACAAACGACATCTACAACAGACATGTGATTGCTATCAGATTCACCAAAACACCGCGACAGTCGCTCATTCCCTGTTCGACACCTCGATCGAGCTCCCGGGCTCGCCGGCCCATCGTATCTTCGAAGCAACAGACGAACGGGCAGACGCGCTCTGTTATGTTGTTGAGAAACATTTGATCTCCTACATACCGCATCGAACAGCCGAATCGCCGCCACCACAAAAGCCACCCTTCAACCTAGGGGGCACACTTGCTTGCGGCGCCTGG